CTAATAAATCAATCAAACAATCGCATTTTCCCGCTCCTTTACAATGTTCCGCACTGTCACACAAGTGTCAGCGACAAACAGATTTTCACTCTTGGGAGACGGGGTAATTCAATACAATGCATCGGATAGGACTTATACTAATAAAGCCTGAGATTTTCCGCCTCTGTAAATACAGCGTGGAAGGATCCTAGGCACATTGGATATTGAACGAAGATGTAATTTGAAACAGAATGATCTATACTTTATTTGTTTGTAGGTATGACTGCCTCGTTGGCCGAGTGGCACAATAGCGACTGCCGAGCAAGGGGTATCGGGTTCGACTTCCGGGCTTTTTCAAAAAAATCTCAGCAGTAGCACGGAGTCTGGAATTGTGCCCGGTATATGGCAATAGGCTCACCCCCTATTACATGGGACCCATAACATAAATAGTGAAAAGTGGGTGTTACATTGTACAGTGGCATTAAGTGCTGTAATGTACACCTCTGCCTACCCCTTCGGGGATAAAAGGCGTGATGTTATGTTATGTTATGTGTGAAAGAAAGAAAGAAATAAAGAACAGACACAAAAAATTAAAACAGTGAAGACGGTGCAAAACGGCCAGAGCTCAGCTTTAATGCCGTGATCCGAGTATGATGACAACCCAGCTCGCAGAAAAACAAAGATAAAACCCAAAAACATATAAATCTTATGATTCCAGAAACGAATCAAACGACTACGTATTGTTAAAACTCTTAAATAGGCAACAGTTATTACCAAAACTTTAGAAGAATGAGAGCAGATACTCTATGGTCCACAAAGTAAATTTTTTTTTATTCCTAAACTATTTAGTAGCTTGTTATGTACTGAAAGTAATAAGGTACTTTCATTACTTATGGGCCCCGTATAATAGAAACAAGTCTATGACCATAACCAGGACACAGTTGCAGACGCTGGAGTATTTGATAAAGTATGTCACAAAAAAATAGGCATTAAAAGGATCATAATCTAGCATTAACAAAGTCTGTAATTATGTGCAAAAGAATTGTCTTTACTATTAGGTACGTAAATACAAACATAACTGGCAAAAGGTCAGTGTTTCTAACAATCTGCAAACCTCTGTGTACCCCTTCAGGAAATAAAAGGAGTGATGTTATGTTTAATATATAAATTCAAGTAATCCAATGATGTAATTGGATTAAAATTTCACGATTACAATTGTTTTTGAAGGAGGAATAAGTAAAAATAAGATTTTTATAATAACTATCGAGAGACATACTAAATTTAGTAAAATCGCGGGTTACTCACGTGAATATATTGAGAAAAGCTCTACTAGTTTCGAACCACAGAGGGGTTCTTCCTCATGAGCAGCGTGCGCGGTCGCGGCGAAGTCGCGCAGCTCACTGAGCTGTTTTCTCAGTATATTCACGTGAGTAACCCGCGATTTTATTTAATTTAGAAAAATTAAGAGTTTCATAGTATAATTTACCAATATTTGAAGTTTGATTTTGTCAATAAAACCATGTAGGTATGTTATGTAAATAATATTTATATTCACGTAATTTAGGCATGACATACTTATCAATAAATGAAATTTCATTTCTGTTGGATTAAATGTCCAACTTTCATACTATAGTCTTCATGGTCAATATCGTTTTCGTCCCGAAGTAAAACGGTACTGTCTCAATATATAGAATAGAGTCAAACGTTACTTTGCGCAAATCTAAGCTACACTAACAACTATATGAATTTGCGGCTTTCGCCAAGTTAACAACTCCTGAGGATGCACCGTGGAGAAGCAAAACATATATGTCGAGTATGGCTCGAGTGGTTTGTTGCATATCGTGTGTACATATGTTTTGTGTCGCAAATCTACTGTATGAGCGATTATCTGCAAAATCATACTGCATACTGAATGCTGCTAATTCATTCCTTCGACGGAATGAAAACTAAATATATTTTCCCGGTTATTTGTGTTGTTCTATCTCGGTATTACAAAGTTATTAAAAGCAATAAATAGTAAGCAATTAGTGTTTAAAATTTTTAAATACAATTTTTAAAACAAAAAATTTTTTTCTTTATGGCAGTAGCCGGTCGACGTGCAGACGGATCACCTGATGGTAAACAATCAGCGTCGCCCATGGACACCTGGAACATCAGAGGCGTTACAAGTGCTTTACCGACCTTTTAGGGATTAGGAGTTTGAGGATCGTTGGGGATTCAAGGATTGGGGAAGGGGAGGGGCGTAATTGGGCTACATATATCTGATAAACCATTGTAAAAACCAAACTTCGAAAGCGCATATGATGCGCCTTGTAATTCTCGAAGAGATATTTCTCGGTAGGTGTATCGTGTGATGCCAATAAGTAAATACAATATTGGTAAATTAAATAAACACGGTTTACGGGCTGTAGTCTGTTCTCCGCATGGAATGACGTAATAACTAGGCATTGGATTTTTATTTTAAATTTGTTTCCGATGTTGTCAATGATTTTTGTTGCATAAAATCAAAAAATGTTTTCAAAGTGGAAATTCCGACGCAATTCCATGTTCATATTCATTTATTTGAAAGTATGCAATAAAAGTGAAAATGATATTATTACAATTAAAATAAAATAATTGAATTCATAATAAGATTAAATTCAAAATAAAATATGTAAATAAAATTCTTGTTAAGTCCAATAATTAAAATGAGCAGAGGGAAATCATAATCAAATCAAATATAATCAAAATCAAATTAAAACAATAAATATCAACTCAAAATAATCAAAATCAACTCAAAATATTTTAATTCTAATAGAAATAAAGTAAACAAAATAATACGATAACTCAAAATGACAGTAATCAAAACTTTTGATTAATTCAATCAACATCAAAAATTAAATCACCTAAATTAACTAAATAAATCACCTGTAACTATAAATATGTGTAGGTACTTGTGGCCTGTATGATACAGTCCTGTACAGTATTAATTGTAAGTGTACAAATGTGGGCACCATGTTTGAACAATCATTCATAGCTTTTCATTTAGTTTCAGGAGTTGATTCCGTAGTTCCATTAAATTTTGACGTTGTATTGTTATATACATTAGGTAAAGGATCAGATAATTTATCAATGAGACTGTAGAAAACCTTTTTTTAAAGAGTAACGATGGAGTTTCTTGCTTCGTCTCCATTTGAAATTACACTTTGGATTGAGCGCCTAGCTTCACTGATAGACAGACGGACAAACAATTCAATTTCGGTTAAAAATAACGACTAGATGACATATCGAAGGGTGCTCAAGATGAAATTTTCTATGTGGTTATTATAGTATAGTATTTGGTTATTATATTATAGTATAGTATGTGGTTATTATACTATAGTATAGTATTTGGTTATATTTGGTTATATGTATATAGTGGGTATCACGTAAGCATTATTAGAGCTATAAAGGACTATACACTACATTTTAAAAATACCACCACTTGCTCGATTTTCACGTGGTATGGAAATTATCTTTTTCCCCAAATGCTCATAATGAATTTCGCGGTGCTCTGACGCAAAAACAACTTTCATTTCAAAAAAGTTGTCGAGATATATGTAAATTATTAAAGAATTTCAGTAGTTTGATCTTGTAGTTAACATTTTCTCGTAAAATGCACAGCAAAAACGAAATTGAAAATTTTTAAGATGGCGGCGCGATTGGCGCACGTACAAAGGTGCAAAATGGAAATTGAAAAGAGCACATCAAAATTTATAATTTTCCAATCTCCTGCAAAACACAAAAACCAAATTATTGAACTACTACTAATAAACAAAACACTGCTTTCAGACGCAGACTAATTGAATTAGCATTCTAGCATCTAACACCAAATTCCAATTGACAAATAGCGCGGATAGTTTCAAAGTTCACGATAAGATTGAACTATGTAGGTACTATGAGCGGGTTGTGACGCGTAGTTTCTAAATTAGTCTGTTAGGAATGCAAGTCAACAATGTTGTGATATCACTGAGGTTACAGCTATGCTAAATGAAATGTTTAGTATAGATAGTAAAGCCTGTAAAATAACTGCGTATTATCTGTAATGAAAGTTGATACAATAAAACCTTTATTGGCCAAACTACGGCTCGCACACTTAATAAGCACGAATCCAACATAATAATGTCATTGTCATTTAAATATGAAGTTTAAATCATATGTCGTATTACTTATTTCATAACGTCAATATAAAAAAGCTGTAAGCCCACCGCCCACGAGCCGCCCTCACGCCGACGGCGCGCTTACGTTTTTTATATTGTTTTTAAAGTAAAAAACGCCGTGCCCGAGCCGTATTTAAGCCGTGCTGAAGCCGTTCTGGAGCAGTGCTCGTTAGATCTGCGACTTGGCAGGACTGAAAATTGTAGTCACTATCCGAAGTTACGGACAAAGGCTCAATTTGATAAACTTTTTTTTAGATTGTAAGAAAAAAATAATGTTGCCTGTCCGACGAGCGGTGGGCAAAACTCATTATCGAGTGGAGCCCGCACAATATCAATAGACGTCACGCCAGGGGCCACAGAAAGCTTTGCGAAGAGACGAGTGGAACAGAGTATGGAGGCTTTGCCCTACAGTGGGATGACCATGATATAAAGACACTAATATAAAGAAGAACAAAGAAGAAAAACAATCAATCAACTCTTATGTAGTCATATTATTTTATTTATTGTATTAAAATAATATTATTACATATGATTGATTAATTGTGCAACATCATGCCAGCGTCCATATTTTGGAGCACCGAAGATACATCTTAACGCAGAGCTCATCAATACTACTATTCTGCAAGTCCATTGTGAAAAAGTTCCTTCTGAATCGATGGTAATGTATTATATGTACAAGATTTTTTACTAAGTTTAAATAAGAACAAAGAAGAAAAACGTCACTGAAGGCTTTATCAGTTGAAGAATATGATATGTAGTCGTATTCTTTTATTTATTGCTGTATTAAAAGAATATCATTACGTATGATTGACTAACTGTACAACATCCTACAAGCAACCAGTAATGGAGCACCGGAGGTACATACTATGACACCTTGATACGGAGTGAGCTCGGTGAACGCCTCTTTTTGTTCTAATATAATGTGTATTAGATTCTATCTCCAATTACAGATAAAATCAATTGTTCAAGATCATGGCAGCAATGGGAGCACCGGAGGAACAATGCTAACAAATATTTTTGACCCATAGACCTAATTACAATAATAAGGGCCTGTTGCACAACATTTTGATAGCCGCTATGTCCCAGACAAAAATCCTTCTGCATTCTGTCCTCTACAGACATAAGTTGCTCCAAATATATATGTATTATTTTACATATTCTGTCATTATCTATTTAGTTTTATGTTGACCCTTACTGAGTTTGTCATTACCTTTGTTTTAGATGTATTCATTCATCTAAAAGTTGTTGCAGTACAATCTCTAGACAATTCAGGGTTTCAAAAAATACTATGATATCGTCTGCGAAGCATAGATGATTCATTTTACCCCCATTGTTAATGAAAATCATTAATCTTTCCACTATAAGTTTACAAAAGACCTTTCTAGAACTGTAGATAACAGTTTCGGTGAGATAGGTATCATACTTAATATTAAGCAAATGAGCAGACGGATCACCTGATGGTAAGCCATCAGCGCCGCCCATGGACACCCACAACACTAGATACTTATCTGACTTCACAGGTGCGTTACCGGCCTTTAGGCTTTAGGAATACGAATAATAATAATGTATCACAAGTGTGGTTGCAATATATGTAGGAAAATGTTTCATTGTTTCCGGGGATGATAGCACCATTTCTTAACTCATCGAAAATGATGGCGTATACAAACGTTAAAAAGTGTCCAAACTCTGGTTAAAAAAAGCAGTAAGAATATCGAAATTCCTCTATTTAAATTTATCCTAACCCTTAAATCGCTATAATCCTTACATAATTTACAATCGTTATAAATTATAAAGATACAATCAGATTTGTGAAAATTAGTTCAAATAAACATGTTACCTACATCCACAAAGCTAAAACTCTGAAACACAAAAAAAACATCGTTCAAAATCACAAAGACCGTATCACAAGTTTAACTAACATCTATTTATAAGTACAACATCACAAATAAGAAGATTGCTGCCGCTAATACTGTCTGTTTATTTTCCAAGCTCCCCTTACAACGCGTCCCCCGTCTAGACATCCGATTTGCGACCTCGGGCACCCTCACATTACGTTGTCCTTACGCTTCCTGAATCATCGACCAAGGTTGTCAGACACCCCAATTTATATCGATTTGTTTATGACAAGTTCAAGGGCAAAGGTAATCTCAGGTTGTGTGCGCGAAATTGGGTGACGATAGGAAAAATTGTCGGTACTTTGGTAAAGGGATTAATTGAGTTCATGGATTTCTTACATTTGTAGTTTCTGCTGTTTTTTGATAGTTTGTTTTGTATTAAGGAAGTTTTGTGTTTATTGAAAGGGGTGCATTATATTTATAATTATTATTAGTAGACTTTACACACATTAATATTAGAAAACCACGTCATAAATGATATTAACTGATGATATTTAATTAAGGAATAATAATCAACTTGTTTATAAAATTACGTGTATGCTTGGCAGAAACAGATTCAAGACCAAATAAAATACTGGTTAAATATACATAAAGTGTTGAAAGTATTTTCAATTGAACTACCAGATACTGCGTTTTGATAGTCATGCAGTAATTTTATCAGCAACATTTAACAATTATCGTATTCTGATGGGAGTTCTGTGGATACTAACATTAAAATTTTTCCTCTTACTCTTATTAATAAACAATTTTTTTTCGATACTATTGTATACCCATAAGATAAAATATCTGAAAGTAATATAAACAAATACCTAGTGATTGTAGTTAATAATTTAGCTAAGCGGAGGTACTTTCATGGGTTTCGAAAACCTTGGTGTATCATTTTAATAAAATCAGTTCACACAAAACAGTAAACATAGTTCAAAGTTCAAGTTTAGTTACTAAACGTTTGAACGTACGTTTAACGTTTACCTAAATATTATTCACTAATTTATGCGATTTACGTCAATAAATTTACTACAATTTAGCCGGAACTGAAGTGCAGCGGTCTTTGACCTTTTGTGTTGTAAGTGTCCGGCTGCGAGCCCCGGGCGAGCTGAGGTCGGCTCCTCCTCACCTCGGGGGAAAGAGACGGGCTGCGTGCTGGAAAATAATTTATCCTTGTCGCACAGTAGCAGAGTGTCAGGCGATGGGTGGAATCGTGGGATGGGAAGATACAAGTGAGGCGCTATGGGTGAGGACAGGTGTATATGTTTTGGTTAAATTGAATTTGGATGTAAATTGCTGCATTGATATTTATGAAGTTTAAATTGTACAACTAACTTTGGAAATTTTAAATCTATTATTTAGAGTTTTTCGTTGCCGTCAGGCATAAGGACATGACTTTCTGTCACTAAAATACTCAGTAAATTCGAAAACTTAAAAAGTACTCTTTATTAAATTCTAAAATTAAATTCGACAGTAGGCATGGGCAATATAAAGATTAAAAAAATACAGACACAAATATGTAAAATAAAATAATAACAATAATAAACGTAATATGAAAAAAATACTGCATGATTGATGCGGTAGCTGGGAAACCAGCTGCCGTGTAAATTTTCGGGATTCGATTCCCAAAGAAACAACTCTTTGTATGATCCACTAATTGTTGTTTAGGGTCTGGGTGTCATTGTGTATGAAATTGTATGTTTCTAAACGCACCCACGAAATAGGTAAAAGTTCTAGTAATAAGGTACTGGAAAGGTCCCTATAAGGTGGAAATAAGGTGCGAACCTTTAACGGTTGATCGTTTGGCTAATAGTGAATATTTGCATAGGCATAATCAGGTAGCTAAGATTTTCCATCAGCAACTTGCTTTGCAATGTCAATTTGTTGAGTCTGAGGCTACAAGTTCTGGAAAATGACCATATCACAGTATACTAGGACCGGTCTATCATCACTGATAGGACTATTGTAGTTAATAAACCTGACATAGTAGTGATAAACAAGTGCATCGCACGGTAATAATCGATTTCACCATTATCCATAACGAGAACATTGTGAAAGCTGAGAAAGATAAACAAATAGAATATTTAGACTTAGCTCACGAGGTTGTCGACGTGTGGAGTGTGGATTTGGCTATTATTGTGCCGATAGTCGTGTCGGCCCATGAGTTAATCCCTAAAAGCCTCGACATCCATCTAAAGAGGCTGGCGTTAGGTGAATGGATCAATGGAAATACAGAAGGCAGTTCTCAGAAAAGGAACGTATCGTACCACAGGTATCTTGGACCATGCTTTCGCAGCTGGCCGGTTCCTCTTTTTTTAATTTATAAATTTTTTTTGTTCGTTTGTTACCATAAATGTTATTTATAGGGAAATTAAAATCAATATATATTATGAAAATAATAAACTTAAAAGAGGTAAAGACAATAAAAAAGATACACTAAATTCGAATAATAGAATTTATAATTTAGAAAAATTTTCTATTAAAAACATTATTTACTACTAGGCACTGCCCATAATGATATTATTAATTTCAATATCCTCAGTATGGTTCCTTCATTACAAAAAGACGATGACTGTTTTTAAAGTGGTTATATTTAGTGTTACTTCCTTTTATAGACCACTGAGCTTTGATATCACATTAAATGTTTTCTGAATGGCGCCTGTGATCAAAGAGGCTAAGAAGCATTTTATCTCATGTTTGTAGACTTGCTACGATCTTTGTAGACAGTGCTACGAGTATCACAGACTGTGCTACGATTATCGTAGCAAACGTCTACGAGATAGTAGCAAAATTAATTGCTTATAATGCTTCTGCAAGCAGACTACACTTTTTTTATTCTTAATTATACATTTGTCCTGGCGATAGTAGTTAGTACATATTCCTACGTGATGGTTGAATGATGTGTAAATTTAAAGTCAATCGCAAACGCGTACCGCTTAGCGTAGTAAAATTCGATTCTCAAACAAGTGTCAACTATTTTGGTGTACCTCAAGGTAGTATTTTGGGGCCTTTATTATTCCTTATCTTTGTCAATGACCTCTCACGTGCGCTTATACATGACTGTGTATCGTTTGTAGACGGCACAACAATTATTTTGGATTACAAAAATAGCACTACATATGAAGCTGAAATAAATAAAACCTCAGGGTGGCTATGAGGTGGCTTAATGTCAACCAATTAAAAAAAATGTAGAAACAATATAATTATTAATTTTAAAATATGTAAATATTGAAAAGTGGGTGTTGCTTCTGTGTGCACCTCTGCCCACCCCTTCGGGGATAAAAGGCGAGATGTTAGTTTATGTTATGTTATTATGTAATGTATCTTTGGTAGCACATTAAAGTTACGAATATAATGTTTGTAGCAAGACTCGAATGTATTTATTGCACATATTTTAGAATGACTTTGACAAAAATTTTGGTTGACTTCATAAGTAAATATACAAAACCAGATAAATGTAAATAACATGCAATACCTACGAAATATTTTTGCAGTGCTGTTTAATTTTGCTACCGCAAATATTATGATAACTTTTTTTTTATATTTGATGTGGCGACGTTTGACCACTATCTCACCTGATGGTAAGCGATGATGCGGTCTATGTTGGAGCACGTCGTCCCATAAGCAACCTATTCACTCGGGCCTTGAAGACTCCCAGGTTATATCCATCAGGAAATACAGACTCTGGCAAAGAATTCCACTCTTATAATATAATACTTGGATTTGAATAGGTAGTTGTAAATATTTTTTCAATTCATATTAAACTACTTTCTTTTTGAGACTGATAAAGTATTTACAACTGTGCCTTTAGCCAAACGCCTCTTTAGCGCTTGGCTACAGAGAGAGTAGAAATCAAAATGTATGGGGTTGACGCTGAGAAGTGGCAAAATTTATGTCAATCCCATATTATTTGGTTTTCTATTCTACATGGACACAAGCGCTATGGCATTTGGCTACAGCTGCTGATTACGTATTGACAAACGACAAGACACTGTTGTCTTTGTCGGTCTTTTGTTTAGACAGAGGAGGGATAACTGATATTCGGGTTTCCCATACTTACAATAACAATCGATAGCTACAATTATAAACCTGCTCATAACGTGACCGCCATACTACAGTACTATCCTATAAATATAATATCCAAGGCTATTGATTTTATGTTCTCTATTCAATGTTCCAGCAATGCTATGAATATTATTATGTGTAGGTTTTATAGCCATTCATAATTATTTTGCACACATTTTTATCTCAAATAATAAATATTTCTGAAACATAAATAAAACTATCATAATTAAAAATAAATTTCATAAAAAAACAATAAAGTATAACGTTTTTATTAAAATATTTATCAGATTCTGAGAATTTGTAAATAAATATTTGCATCGTGCATTATTGAATGTAGATTAAAATTTATTTTCGCTTATTCCATTAAAATATTCAGGGATTAATTATGAGGCCTTTTTAAAGGTATTTTATTTTAATGAACTGCTTTATTTAATATACGTACGAATACAGAAAACCATCAAACGAATCATATAGCGTTACTAATATTATAAATGTGAAAGTGTGTTTCTTCATTTAATTGGGAACAGAGTAGAATATGATATATAATGACGTAAAGATTACTTTTTATCTAGGATAGACTTTTTATTCCAGGCAAACGCGAATGAAGCCGCTGGCAGACGCTAGTATAAATTATAAGTCTAAATACTACAAATGAGCCGTTGAACTCATTGTAGTACTTAAGATTAGTGGTAAGTTATCTTTATTATATTATATTAACAATTTAGGGCATTAAAAGGCACTCACTCGCTCAGTCAAACTGCAATTAAGTTAATAGTTTAGTGCAACTATATTAGTTTCGGCCTTTGTAACTATATCTCCTTATGAAACATGTACGTGTGATGAAACTTGATTACATGACAGGTTCAACAAAGAGGGATTCATATTACAAATTGCGTCGTTGTTCTTGGTACCCATCGATATAAAAAATGTATGTCAATGTCTGGACTTACTTCTATCTATATATATAAAAATGAAACCCGTTTCCCGTTGTCACGCCATAACTTGACTTATTTCTTTATTGAAACAAAGAGTTTTCTTTTTCTTGTCTTGAAGCACTATTTTTGTAGATTGTCAGTATGCGTATGTGAGCACCATGTTAGACCATAAGATTTTTTTTATTTTTATTATTTTAGTAAGGTTTGTAAATAGTACCTATAATGCGTCAAGCGTGTCTTTGCACTGTTCTCACGTATACGTACATATACATACAGTATTGGAATATGTATCAGAGACATTGTAGAACATACTTTTTTGAAAAGAGTAACGAATGAAGTTTCTTACTCGTTCTTCTCCATTCGAATCTACATTTTGGAATAAGTACCTAGCTTCACCTAGCTTCACTGACAGACTGACTGACAGACTATTATTTATTTTGTATTTGTTGACGTTTCAAAAATACCAAATTATGGTTTAATTGAAATAAATGCTTTGACTTTGACTTGAGAACGGCTAGACCGATTTGGCTGATCTTTTTTTTTTGTTGTGTTTGTTATTTTCAGGATTTAAAAACTAAAAAATGAAATGTGCACTTTTTTTTGCTGGTCACAATGCGCATACCAATATTTAGCTTTCCACCTTGAAATTGCAAAATATTTTTTCATTCCATAAACTTCCACCCCTATTTCAGGTAAGTGGGGGATTACAAAGAGACAAAATTTAGCCAATTTTACTCTCCATCCTTTCAACTATCTCCAGTCAAAAAATCTTTCTAGCTCCATTCTGCCGTGTAAGAAGGACAAACAAACCGACACACACAAATTTATAATCGTAATATATAAATAAATCTCGTCTTAATATATATAAATCTCGTGTCACAATGTTTGTCCTCAATGGACTCCTAAACCACTTAACCGATTATAATAAAATTCGCACACCATGTGTAGTTCGATCTAACTTAAGAGATAGGATAGTTTAAATCTCAAATTATAGTCGCAATTTTAATTTATTGCTAATTATTTGTCTGTTATTATTTGACAGTCACAATTATCTGTCAACTCTAAATGATTCTAACAGATGTCGATACCTTTCGACTGGGTTGAGTAAGTGATCAATTGATGGCGCTGCTATGGGATTTTTTTAATAGAAGGAGTGATTCTTAAGGAAGTTTTATATGTATAATGCATACATATTGCACCCGTGCGAAGCCGGGGCGGGTCGCTACTATTAGTATAGTTTTCTGTCATCTGACTTTTGTTTGACAAGTGAGTTTACAAAGTCAACGTTTTTTTTTTTATATTATGATATGACATGAATGTATGCAAAGACGTTGATTTCAGTCTAAAGAGAGAAAACCATGATTAAAATATTATTATTTTCAGTTAACTTGAATTCGTATTTTTTATATGTCAAAAAAAGAAATACACAGAGCTGAAAAATAATTTAATCCTTTTCATGTTAGTCCGTCAAAGCCGAATTTACTGGTTTTTTTTTATGGCATACGCAGATAAACGAGCAAACGGATTACCTCATGGTAAGCAATCTGCGTAGCCCATGGACAACTGAAACATCAGGGCATTTTGGGAATTTGGGGATTGTGGGGGATTCTAGAATTGGGGAGACTGACGAGGGGGGTTATTGGCCCTCCAGTAACTTCACTCACACGGCGAAACACAACGCAAGTCTTCTTAAGGTAATGTTAACATGATGAGTGAAAACTATCAAAAAAGTCCTTATATTATTGGTATATTATTGCTTACGCTGTGTAGATTATGGGCAATAGAGCCGAGGGACATTAATAACAACATAAAAGCCAACGTATCATATCGCACACCTAGATTTAAAGGGAGTTAGCTCAAAAATTGAGATTTTTTAAGTATGCACACCATCGAATTCCTTACCTTACTACCAACCAACCAACAAAACAGATTTAAAAAAGTGTCCACTATTCGACACTGGATGTCGTCAGAAGCCCGTTTTGTTGAACGAGCAGACCCCGCCGCAGATGCTCGACGGGTTAAAACATTTACAGATACTTAGCTTCATTATTTTAAAACCTAATCTTATTCGTACCTAAAGTATGAAGGTATAAACCTATCGTCTAATGTTTCAGGTAGTGACAGCTCGCGGTGTGTTTGAGAAGAGTTGTCGCGTGCCTCGCATATCGTGCGGACCCGAGTGGGAACATGTCATCATGGGATCTGAAGGGTGCTTCGGAGTCGTAACTGAGGTATGTCAGGTGATTTTTTATCACTATAACTCCTAGCATGGATACATGACTAAAGACTTTGATGTGATAATAAAAGGCAATTCACAAATCCACAACGGATTGCTAATAATATTTTGCAGGAGCTTTATCTATAACCGGTTTTTTTAAATTAAGGGACACGAGAGCTTTCGATAGTTACTTTTTACAGAATTATTTATAAAAATTATTGTTTGACTTGTGTTTTTTTTGGTATCAACCTACCCTTATTGTTGTTTACAGAATGCTCTATGAATAGGATTAATTATAAATAATACAAAATGCTATTACATTTTAAATGTATGTTGCTTCTTCATATGAGAGTCAACTCAAAACTTAATTCATAAACACAGGCTCGACTCTAAACGATAAAATTGCACACACTTGTTGAGCTGTAGGTAAATAATTCGAAAAATCCATATTTCAGCCACAATATATCACTAAATTGCAAAATTTTTATAGCATCTTTCTTCCACCTACACTTGTAAAACTTATCTTTAAAGGAAACTCCTGCAATGCATAGTGATACGGTAATCTGTTTTACGCCTTTTCTGAATAAAGTGTTTTTTGAGTTGGACCTGTTTAGATCTACGTGTGCGATATAGAACTAACCTAATGCCCCTACAACTAGTTTTTCATCTACCTCTATAAATTTGCAATAGTAACTTCGCACCGGTACATATCAGGCCTATGCGTTAAAATGCCGGGACCAAGGACGTTGAAAAAAAGAGGGACTGTTACCTTTTAAACTATTGAACCTATTTAGTGCAGGTCGGTACAGCGATAGTTTGCGACCCGGGAAAGTACATCTAAAAGTTTACAACCCGATAATCCCACGAGACTGGGAACTATGGGTTACAATGCGGTACGACATTGATTTGCAAAACGATTTTATCACTGAAACCTCACGAGACGGCAATGTACGGGTAAACCCCGTGTGGAATTATTTATTTATTGAAACAACGATCATAAATTCATTTCGCTATAAATATAACTTCGGTACTGAATCGATTGTGATAATATTGGTTACAGTCGTATAGACGTAGATTACACCTTGCCAAAGAATTCAAAATTCCAATTTCTACCAGAAGTCATTATTTTACGCGGACGAAGTCACGGGTAACAGCTAGTAATAATAATAAATATCATTCCCTTCGTCAATAGGAGAAAAGCTTCCAATATGCAAAATCCTCGTTTAAAATGAAAATAAAAAAAACCTCTTTGCGGTGTGCAATGAATATTGAAATTCTCTAAAAAAATGTTTGCTTCAATTTCTGTATTCTGGTCTATTTGCGTGTGTGATGTGGATGAGCCCTGTTATACCTACCTTTGTAAAATTGTAAAGCTGATAGGATCAATATTTACAGCCTCGTCAGTTTTCCTGGAATATTCCATTGTATGGTTTCTTTATCGACAATTATAGCAGTCTTCTCAGTAACTCTATTCCTGTACGCTGAGCATACGCTTTCTTACTGTATACTGCTCATGAATGTGAGCTTCTAGAATACCTAGCTTAAAACTGGTCGAGTTCCCCGTCAAACAGTTGCGTGGGTGGGTTCATCAACAGCCTATAAATGCCCACTGCTGAGCAAAGCCTCTTCTCACAAGGAGAAGGTTTGAGCATTAATCACCACGCTTGCTCAGTGCGGGTTGGCGATTACGAACTTATAATTAGAAATTATAAGCCCAGGTTTCCTCATGATGTTTTCCTTCACCGTTAGTCAGTGGTGTCTAAATAATCTTAGAAAGTACATATAACTCGGAAAAAGTCACATTGGTACTTGCCGTTGGTAGGTTTCGAACCCGCATTCTCATGCATGAGAAGCCAGCGTCTTAAACCTCCGGGCCACCACGACATTACGCGCGCGCGCGACATTGACGCATGGGTGGGTTGGAAAACATAATTATTAATTTGCTATGTTTCACGAAAGTAATATTACAGTTACAAGTGCATTGATTTAATATGTACTTTTGGGTCGGTGTCTCGCACACTATGAAATGACACAAGAATTTGATTAACGGCGGTAAGAAGGGGTATAGTTAAAGTTATATAGGGGTACTAGTTACATCCATTTTCGAAGTTCATTCTCGGTGCGCGGTTTTTAATAGAGACTGCTTTTACTATGTTACATGTTTATTTTTTAGGAATGTCCCCTAGTGGAGGGGATGCACGGGTGTACTATTTTCTTTTTTTCTCATCGGTCCCACAGTTTTATGAGTAGGTGGAAGGCTTTTCTGTGGTGCTAGTTAGCGACTTTTGGACGCATAGTAACTAAATTATACTTGTTTCTTGTAAGGGGCTTATATTTTTTAATTTTTTTTCTAAACATTTCGCTTTTAAACTGACTGCCGCATTGGCCGCGTGACCCCCTATTACATGGGACTCGTAACTTAAACAGTGGAACGTGGGTGTTACATTGTACAGTGGTTTAAGTGCCGTAATGTGCACCTCTGCCTATCCCTTCGGGGATAAAAGACGAGATGTTGTGTATGTATGTACTTTTCACTTTTAAATAAAAGAGTGAAGATATAAATTGTCATTGTGATCTTGGCCTAAAGACATCGATATGCATTGCAAACATTCGATCATACGTACTTACGTATGTCTAAGTAATACTACCTAATTTAGATGCACACTTAATTCAAATCAAGAAACTACTAATGAAACGCTTTGCATGCACGAGACATTCGAAACCCACCAACGATAAGTACTTTCTAAGTTTATTTAGGTACCACAGACGGTGAAGGAAAACTTCGGGAGGCAATCTGCGCTTAAAATGTTTAATGATAAGTTTGAAATCACTACTCTGTATTAGAGTTTATTATCTCCGTGCGAGAAAAGGCCTTTAGCTAGTAATGGCCACTTATAGCCAATTCACAATGACTAGGTACTAATCAAACTAGTAAATTTAATATTACGATTATAACTTTTCAAAATTAACTCGTTCTGCTCATACCTTAGACCACGATAGTGAAATTGATTATACGATGTAAAGACACAAAAAAGCAAGTATTTTTTATTAAAATAATGTTATCTAGAAAAATTCAACATTTTACTCAGAATTTTATCGTGCTCGTTCCAACAAGAATTTCTGGTATTTCCTCGAGAAGGTTTTTATTTAAATACCTGCAGCGAACACTTTTTAATAAAGATTAATTTTTATGATCTCTAATATCTTTGCCTAAGATAAAGGTTATTCATCGAGTAGAAGAAACTAAGTACGTATAATATTTTTCAGAAAAAATACTTTTACACATTTCTCAGATTTCGTCCAAACAATTTGTGAATTATATTTAGTTTACAGTACTTTTTTATAATAAGTGATATTTTAAATTTAAAAGACAATATAATAAGCGATATTGTCCGTTATTCTCTTCTCGTTACAAAAGGTTGCCTATATTAGTAAGTAGTTAGTTTAAGCAGTGTACTCCCCACCGTAAGTACATTGTGATCCACTGTGCTGCACCACGCGCCGCCGACAAAGAGCTCATACACAAAACTGCGATGCGACGTCGCATCGCAAAAATGTTGGAGCTACCTTCTATACATCGTAAGAACTTGCGAATTGAATCGCATCGCGCATCAAAATCTTATCTTCCCAAAATCTGCTTTGTTTCTTTTTCCTATATCTCCTAAGCAATTACAAAAGTGCACACTTATTTTTACGATCCATGTCACGACCTAGTTTTCGATTTAAAATTTGTTTAATACGCTTGAAGGTCCTCGAAGGAAGGAACCTTGGGAGACGCCTTGTCGTACGAAATCGCATCGCAGCAATTCGTATAGTAATTTTCTGCGATGTGAATTTACATCGCATTGCATCGCAGTTTTGTGAATCTAAAGGTCATCGGCACGGCGTCAACCCAGTAATGCCATTGTCATTTAAATATGAACTTTAAATTGTATGTCGTAAGTATGACATATTTCATAATGTCAATACAAAAACCTGTAAGCGCGCCGCCCACGCACCGACGACAGAGCTCCTAGGAGACGCGCGATTTTTATATTGTTGTCTCATATCTATTATCGTCATAATATACACCTCACGCCTGTCTCCCATGGGGTAGGTAAGGTCTATGAAACGCCAATTACTATGATTCTTAGATACCTCTTTCACTTCCTCCATAGTCATCAGTTTTTTCATACATGCTCGTCGGTTAGGGGTAGTTTTAATTTGGCTCTTTTTTAATATATCGCTAATCTGGTTGATATATTCCCATCTACAGCACCCTCTACCAATGTCAACGTATTATATCAGTATGATGGTCGAATTTTACTAAACATTTTACGTGAAAGATTAACAAACTTTTATGATATTAGCAGTGTTTTTATCTCTTATTAAGAAAAAAAAGTAGAACATTAAATAAAGTCAATTAATTCAATTTTATAATAAAACAATGAAAGTATGAAATGAGTCTCCGCCTTCTCCATTCTAGTATACACGTATATGTATTATCCACACGACTGCGGGCATTGTCATGAATATTAATGTATTTTGCTAAACCAATCGTGGGCTACAAACGGCTATAAACCGAAACCCTTGTGAAGGGGGTCCCTGTAACCCACCAATAGTAACACAACCTGATTACAACGAGTAAGCGTTATCACGATTACTGATAAAGTACATTGGAGGAAAGTGACTTATACGTGTGTTGTTCAGGGCATTTTGTTTACACGCACGCAGCTTAATTTTTACCGACGTCCCAAAAATGGAGTAGGTTCTCAATAAATCATATATATGTTGCTTTTTTGTTAGTGTGTTGTGGACGGACGTAATGTTCTCGAAGTGGTCATTATTTCCACCAAGTTAGGATCTGATGATGGGATCCCATGAAAACTAAAACCTTATTGAAAATCTCACTCCACCGAGGTTTAAACTCCTCATCAATACAAATCAATCAAAACACAAACACAAGAAAGCTACTGTTAATCGCTGAGGAGTTCCTTAAATTAGATAGTTTAGGATGCTGAATCATCTGACTCCTAATTACAACTTCACTCCATCGAAGTATCAAATTCTCATTAAAGCAAATAATTCAACCCCAAATACAGGGTAACAGGTGTAAATTCTCGAGGAGTTCCCTTCACTGGCTCTCAGTTTCATTATCAGATCGAATCCAGACCTTTATCAGATTATGGTGGTTTTAAATACTTTATGAAAAAATTTACAAATGCGCTAGTCACCCGTATAATTTATAAAAGTTCCTTTCAGTTTCCTTAATTCAGCTACTTACCTGATGACAATAAGACCAGT